TGCCTCATTCAGTGCACAGCATGGACCTGCTCTGGGGATAAATCAGGGCTGTGTTGTGAAGGAGGCTGTTGTCTGTAGGACCCCTGTCTCATTTGGTGCAGAAGTTGAAAACCCTTTAGGGAAAGGGGCAGAGGACTGCAGGAAGAGAAAGGATAGTCTCATGGTTAATACAGTTGAACATCACTGTGTCCCTGAGAGCACCCCCAATGCAGAGGGCTCTCTGGTGTCTAGCACTGAGCCTCAGCAGGCCTGAGCAGCTGAGTGTACTCTAACTCACTGTTGTCATAATCTGTATCTACAAGGTGTCATGTAGGGAATCACATATGAACTGGGTAACACACTGGGCTGTTAATATTATTGTGTGGTGTATGTATGGATGATATATATGAAAAGTTATAAATATGTGCTGGAAATATGTTCTTAAAATGTCTTAAGTCACTCTGCCCTAGACAAAGGAATGTGGTCCTGCCTGCTTGAAAGGGTCTCCTATGTAAATTGAGAAGATGCAATAGAAGTACATTTACATAAAAGTTAAAGCCATCACATTAGCAAATGGGGAAGGCAGCCACCTAACTACTGGGGGAGGAGACTGCAAAAATTAACCTGGCATCAGTTCTCTGGTGGACATAGCAAGCTGAGGCTTCAGGAGGGCTTCTTGTCTTTGAGAACAGAGACAAAAAACTTTGAGGATCTGAGCAAAGAGAAAAAGCCATTTTGGCATCCTTCACCTGAAGAGACAAAGAAACAAAGCGCTTTAAGGTCTGTATTGGACCTTGGCTAAGAACTGACCAGCCATGCTGGAAGAACAATTGTCATGAGAAATCTATGTTGAACAAAAAACTCTGGTTTGTTAAGCTAGGTTTTAGTTTTAGAATAATAATTTTACTTTGGTTTGTTTGTAACCATCTCTATCTCAATTCCTTCTACTTGGTATCACTTAAATATCTGTTCCTTATTAATTTAACCTTATTTTATTATACAGCCATCTCAGGGCAGTGCTACTTGATGCACAAATGGAAAATTAAAAACTCTCCAGTGTGGGACTGTGGTCACCCAGAACAGACAATGGAACATGTAATGACTCAATGGCTGGTTCTCAAATATGAAAGAGGCATCACAGCGTTACACTCCGCTACTCCTCATGCAATTGTCTGGCTTAATCATCTAAATAGAAAATTATAGTTGTTGCTCCACATCTACATCAGCCATACGAAGAAGAAGTGCAGTGTTTCAAACTGAAGGATAAAATCCTCAGCCTGGACTGGTGCTGTGTACTGTCTCTTTAAAGGAGCAGGGAAATTGATAAGGAACTATAGTGAGAGGAGCTGAGCACTGCAGGGGAGATGATTTTGGAGAGACTCAAGGCTGGAAGAACTGTTGGTGTCACCCTGCAAGGAAAAACAAGGTTGGTGGAAGCCAGGGTGAGGTCATTGTGCTGTAAGCAGGCTGCTGGTGTCAGGAATCTGAGCCAAAGCTGCACAGCACAGAAACACCCTGTGTTACAGGACAGGTAATGAACAAACTCTTAGTGGTCTGGGTGAATCCCCGAAGTGTCAGAGTCACCTTGGAAAAAAGAATTCCATCTCTGCCTCAGAGACAGAGGTCCTAAGAGAGGCTGAGCAAGTCACAAAACATATTTTTCATAGATTACCACTAATTTTCTGGGTGCTCAGATGCCTGGAGTCAGATCTGCAGAAGTGCTGAGCACTCACAGCTGCAACTGAAATCAATAGAAGCTGTGCTTTAAATAGGTCTATAAAAACTTAAAATACTCTGCAAAATCAAGCCCTCAGCATCTCAAGCTGGGCATCCAAAATTAATGGACACTTTTGACAATTTTAACCTTAATCTCTCTGTGCCTGAGTTCCCTTCCTATAAAACTGGGATAATAATACCACCTTACCACACAAGGGTGTTGTGACGATAAACTTATTACTGTCTGTGAAGCATACAGATACTACAGTGAAGAGTGCCATAAAAATGCCCATCAAGAAATCAGTAATTCACTGCAATACAGAACTTGGTTAGTATGTAGTAAGTAGTGCCTGGGAACCCACAAGCATACGTGCATTGACTGAGACAGGGGTCCTGTGGAAAATACGATGTGATCATGTACTTAAAGATTCTAACAACAATTTGTAATCTGTTCTCTACTCTATTTTTCATCCTATATTTTCGTAAAGGATTTTTCCTTTCTGCTCTTTCACTGTTCCTTTTTTCTGATCTTTTCTAAGAATATGGACCCAGGAATGTTGAAGTTTCCAAACCTATAATATTCCAGTGCCTTCAGAATTAGGCAAAATGAGCTCAACCATCCAATTTACCTACCTATATTCTCACTATCTGTTTTGATTACAGAATTCTTCAACTTCTCCCCTAAAGTATGTATTGTATTGTTATGCCCAATAATGATTTCACCATATAGAAGGCTGCATTTCAGTGATGGGTGAAGTGTTTTTTGTTTATAACATTTGTAAAAAAAAAATCTTTGGCATTATTTTGGTTTAAATATGCTATTTGTTAATTCAGACTTGCACAGTTCCTCACTAGAAACTACCATTCTACAATATTGTGAGGTGGCTGCATAATTTAGGTAAATGACAGGAATTATAATGAAACTGCCAAATCAGGATTTGAATTCAGGTTTCAAGAAGTGAAAAAGCCAATTTGTTAGTCCATGCTGACCTCTACAAAAATCATCGGTAACAAGAATCATACTTATTTAAAATAGCTTTTTATTTAACTTCAACTGGAAAATAACCAACTTGTGACACCAGCAGCAATTCACTGATGTGAATTTCTTATAAAATACATTTCTGCAATGAAAATGAACCAAAAAGTATTTTTGTGATACTTTAAAACTCTAACTATCCAGCCGAAATTCCCTATTGTGTACTATTACCATATGAGGGGAGATGCTTTTTATTTTAAAATTTAAAACACTGAGTTCTTCCAAATGGTGTAGTTCTTTATTTTTATTTGGAATGAGAAATATTAAATATGCACATATCTGTCAATCTGATCATCAATGTATCCAAAAAACACTTCCAGTTAAAATTATTACTTTAAAGAATCTTATTTGAAAAACTTGGCTGTTAAAGAATTCCCCCTAAGGAAAGGGGTGGCCTGAAATGCACAGAGTAGATCTTGGCCCAGCAGAAAGCTAGTAATGCACAGTGGAGCCACAGAGTAACTGAATGGCTGTTTAGTAGCATTAAGAGATCTACATGAAATAAGCATTTAACAAAAAAAGTAATGGTGGCTTAGCCTGCAAACTAGTAGCCAGATACTGGAGTAGACTCAACTAATTAGCAGAATTACCTACCTTGAGACTATATGGGTCTCTCCTGCTCACTCCTGTAGATAGGACATGAACTGGACCCATGTGATATATAAGCAGCCTTCTCGCACAAGAGATGCGGTCAGATAAGCCTGTCTGACCCTTAAATCAACCAGAGGTCTGCTAATTGGTCTCATCTTGCTGCCAATGTTTTTATATCCAGTATGGTCTCCTTCCCAATAATTCATTATTGCAATATAAGGTATCTTCTATATATAGTTTTTCAATTAATTTTTTCGGGCATTATAATTGTCATGGTCACTGGGCTAGCTGCACTTAAGTCTCTCTGAGTCATGCCCCTCAGGTGTTAGACCTTTAGCCTTTACCTGTCCTGTGCATGTGTGTGTGCGGGGTGGGGGGTGGGTTTGGAAGCCTGTGATTTTCCCATTCTTAGACTAGGTCTCGGACTATAGCCTCAGCGTCTACACAGCAGGACTGGATTTGACAGAGTTTTTAACTGTTTAACATCCTTTTGAACTGTGTGGTCTCAGCCTTCGTAAAACAGCTGTATAACTTTGGCTGGAGCCTGGAAGTAGCATCTTCACAGCTAATAGCTCAGGTATTGTTTCTTAACCTCCTAATCTGTTAACCAGGAGGTGTTTTATCTGGATTCATTGTTTTACGCTCCTGCTTGATTCCCAAGATCCCTACTATTAACTAAACCAGTCCATGCAAACAGTGAATTAACTCCATATAGCAAACATTCTCATAACCTAATATATCCATATATTATTCATAAATGAATATATACCAGCCCCACATCCTTCACAATAATCACATTATGTAATCTGCAGGTTATCATTACTACTCAGCATCAGGTTTCAAAATACAAAGATGTTGAGAGACTAAGATTTTATTATTAGCAGAAATGGAAGAAATGTGGATTATAACTGAGAAATATAATACAATCTCTATAAAGAGACATGGGGCCAGATTCACTAGTATACTCTGACTGCTTTTGTGCTTCTCTGTTGATGTAAGATAGCTACAGACCTGGCTTAACTGACCAGATAAACTGGATTTACAGCTGATTTGTAACTGTGGAATGGTGCAATGCAGCTGCACATATGGGTGAATCTGTCCCAATGTCTGTTCTGTAAATATCATCTACAAATCTTCAGGGTTTTTTTGGTTGGTTGGTTGGTTTTGGTCTTCCTTAATAAAGTAATCTTGCTGAAATTTGAAGTAAAATCCATAAAAGCCTTTTAACTAAATATTAAGAAAAATAATATGATCACTTTCCTTTAAACTTCTAGCACCATCTCTTACATTTATTTTATGCAGCTGATTAACTTCTATATTGGAGCCCAATATTTTTTATACATAAAAATAAAATCAATAATTTTGCTGTTGTCCAAAACAGCTACATTACAGCTCACGACGGATTACAATGCTCTACTTTTGCTGCCAGTACATTTTCTGGTTATGTCTGTTGCTTTAAGTACTGCAGATGTTTTATTTTATTTTAACACAGATAAAGACTGTAGTTAAACCACTTCTAGAAATCAGCTGAAGCTTGCACTAGTATAAAGAGCTGGAAACTGCATAAAACAAATGCACTTTGGTTTCTTGGCAAGTAAAAACAAAACAAAACACAACACTCTAAAGGATAGATGCTTGAGTTTAATATTCAAATGGAATTAGCTATATTCTTACTTACCAAGCCCTCACTGGGCATAATGCTAGTAAGGTGAACTACTTCAAGGTGTGCTGACTGAGACACCAGAGAGTCAGATGAAAGAGAGATGATGTGGTCACAGATTCCAGACAAAGTTTTACACTAGAAAAAGCAAACAAAAATAATCATAAACCCTTGTGTTGAAGTGACAAACTGTTGGTATTAAAGCACAGTTCAAGGGCAATATTGTTTACATCATGTTTACTTTACATGGTATATATATTTGAGCAGCAGTAGCTTTTCATTCGTACTGTCATAAGAACACAGAGCTGAAGTTCTATATTAATCACAAGGCCAACTACAAGAGGGCCAGGGAAAATAAAATTCCTATCAATGCCATAACAAGTGATCGTGAATTTACAGCACAGAAGCCCAAAGGAATCTTCTTGTGAAGTAATAACCGAAGCATGTGTGCTTGAATCACCTTATTCATTCAAGCAGCCACCCCTAACAAACATGCCTGATAAACTTGATTTTACTTGTTGCTGTACATGGCATTATTAAACACAGATTCAATTAAAGCAAAATATGTAAATAGTAATTACTTTACACATTAATTTAATTACTTTTTTGGCCAACAAATGAGAAGGGTAATTTATAAAGTCAAGTGTTTATTTAAGGTGTCAATTCCACAATACAAAAACATAGTGAGGTCATTCCACAGAATGGGGAAGTGAGATAAAGGGATGAAAGTTATTTGTCCCGGGTCAAACAAAACAACAGAAGGAAACAGAACCCAGACACCTGAAACAAGGGCCCAAAATAAGGGATTTGTCCCCATATTTTTTTCATGTTTTTTAAATTTTACTTTCAGACATAGTATGCCTAAAAATATTTGTACTTAATTTGCAACCATCCATTTAGATGCATTTCAGAATGCTCTTCTGGTGGGAATTCTGTTGTGTGCTCTCATTTTTCTTCAGGGACTACACTGTCATTTACTTTAATTACATTAAATGGTGGTGAAATCCCTTAAGGGAAGTTATACTTCATATATTTTCAAATGCATGATGAATTCTAATATCCCATTTGACACTACATATATAAGCAGAAGCAGCAGTGAATAACTCCTTTGTCTAAATACATAAACAGTGTTCAGAATTACTTCATCTTTACTCATTTAGAAACCAGGGTAAAGCTCTGGAGTACTGGATGTTGCATTTGGATCTCTGTATCAGTTGAAACGTGGAAAATCACATGTATGTATGCAGCTCCCTATTAACTATGCATTTGAGCCTCTATCAAATGGCCACTGAAGAAAACACATTTTTCCATTGACTTCAGTCGGCTTTGGATCAGGGCCTTGAAGAGGAATATATGCATTGTCCACTACACCTATACCCTACACATTAAATGTATTCAGATACTTTACATATGCATATGTGGCTGGCATGTAGAATAAAAATTTAATCAAAGCATATCCCTTTCTTGGGATCTGTAGTATGGATGTATTAGCCATGTGGCTGTGTTCCAACCTGACTTTTTGATGCTTTAGTACCCCTATACAATTATCATTTAGAATCGAGCCCACCACTACCCTTTAAAATTATTTTTATGCCACACATACAGACTAGATATCGGAAGCAATTCACATTGAATCCTTTGCATTGTTTGGAGACACATCTAAGGTTTCCTCTTGACCAATGTTTAATGGGGGGGGGGTGAGAAATCTAGTAAGTAAACATTAGAACTGAATACATGTTAGGAAAAAGTGCTCAATGAGCAAGATTATGATGATAGCTCACCAAGTCCCCACCAAAGTTCAGAAATTACAATCAATGGAGAATTTTAACATCAGGAAAAAATATTAAAGAGCAATAAATAAAATAATAAGAAATACCTGGCCACTCTAAAGTAGCTCAACAGACAATAGAGAGACCAGATGCCCATAATAAATGATGCAAAGGCTGGGACTGCAAAGGATGGGACTTGTCGTGTGAGAACACCCAGGAGACAATAATGAGAGAGTAAATAATGCTCTGTCTGGCACTATCAATAATACAAACTGTACCCGCATCTGTTGCCGCATCTTTTGGATAAAAACAAGGCGAGATTAAAGGCAAACAGAGAGGGGGAAAAGGTTTCTTAAGTTTGCTCCAAATTTTGTCATTTCTAACAGATCACCTTTCCAAACTACCATCAAGAAATTATAATTAATGATGATACTTTGTTCTTATATCACATTCTAGTCAAAAATCTCAAAGCATTTTACAAACAAGTCATTGTGAGAGTGAGAAGTATTAACCCCATTTTAGAGATGACACTGTCGAATGAGAAACAGATTTAAAGTGACTTGAACATGGTCATTTTTCAAATCCATGTCAGACACCACCAGCAATAGGATCTAGGATCCCTGTGCTTTTGTCATGACGCTATATTAAAATAACAGACACATTCTCCGGATGGGCTAATGCCACCACAGAAAGCTAGATTGAACATCACCACAAAATTGTCCGAAAAAAATTGATATTCCAGGTAGTTCAGTAACTGCTGCAGAGAGAAACTATATGCACTTAAGCTGCCCAAGACTTAGTTTTCTTATAAACAATTTATTGAAATCCTATCACTGGGGCTTGACAAGAAAAGCACTTCCTCAAAATCACTTTAAACCCCGGACATACAACTCAGCATGTGTCACATAGGGTGTTTTTATTTTTAACTAATAGCCACTTTCAGATTGGTACCATAGGTATCTGCAGTTATTGTGCACAGAGGAAGAGGTGTTTTGGTATTGTTCAGTATGGTATCAGTAGGTGTCTTGATCTGCTGTCCAGGTAATAGCATTTTACTGAGCACTTACCTAAATGTGGGAAAACTTGGCCCTCAGGGTTGCTTTGCAGACGCATGCCTCCAATATGCTGTTTCAAGGTTTCTCTTTTGTAATTTTTCCTTTCCATTATGCACTTTCAATCAGCCACTGAGAATTGATCAAGCCTTAGCATTTTAAAAGTTTCTCTCTCTCTCTCTCGTTTGAAGTAACATTACTGTAGCTCACGAAAGCTTATGCTCAAATAAATTGGTTAGTCTCTAAGGTGCCACAAGTACTCCTTTTCTTTTTGTGAATACAGACTAACACGGCTGCTACTCCAAAAATTACATAAATATACACTTCTACCCCAATATAACGCAGGTTCGCATACAGCGCGGTAAAGCTCTGACACGCTGCTCTGAGCAGTGTGTTAAGGGTGCCTTGCTGGGCCAGGGCCTAGGGGTTGGATAACAGGCAGAGGGTCTCGGGGGCAGTCAGGGACTCCCCCTCCCCACCCGAGGGTCTGGGAGGCAGGAGCTGTGGGGTGGGGGGCACTTTTGAGGGACCCGCAGTCCCAGAGCGGCCCGGGGATTAGTGGGGAGCTGGAAGCAGCCCGCTCCGCTTCCCTCGCCCTGGCCCCAGCCGTGTCACTCGGGGGAGGGGACTTGGGGGAAGGGATCCCCCCTGGCACTCACCAGCAGTGGCGGAAGCAGAGCAGCCCGGCCCCAGCCTGCTCCACTCCGCCAGCTCCCAGCCTCAGCGCTCTGCTTCCAGACGCAAGTGAGTGCAGGACCTTTCCCCAACCCCTGCCCCCAGCGACACAGCTGGGGCCATGGCAAGGAAAGCAGAGCAGGCTGGAGCCATGTCGTTCCGCTTCCCACCTCCAGTGAGCGTGGGGGGCATCCTTTCCCCAAACTCCCAGCACTCACCAGCGGCGGGAAGCAGAGCACCGTGGCTGGGAGGTGGCGGAGTGGAGCGGGCTGGGGCAGTGTTGCTCCATTTCCCACCGCTGCCGGTGAGCGCCTGTCAGGGGGCAAGAGGTGTGGATAGGGTCGGAGCAGTCAGGGAACAGAGAGCAGGGGGGTTGGATAGGAGGTGGGGTCCTGGGGGTGATTAGGGATGGGGGTCTCTAGAGGGGGCAGTCAGGGAACAAGGAACGGGGGGGGCCAAAGCAAGTTTGATATAACGCGGTCTCACCTATAACAAGGTGAGATTTTTTGCCTCCCAAGGACCGCACTATAGCGGGGTAGAGGTGTACCTCTCTTACTCTCTTGGCTGCTTTCCCAAAATAAAAATAAAAGCACTTACACAACTTTGAAGTGCTGTTTTGGGGCTATCCCCTCTCCTCCCTTTTCACACATGTACATTTTTATTTTTAAAGCACTTATAAGTGAGCTTTTGGACTCCAAGTTCCCTTCTCCCTGGTCTCCTCTCAATTTTCTGTTTTCTTCATATGAACAAGACAGAAGCGTTTAGGGAAGATGAAATAGAGCCATGACCCCCATTCCCACACTCTCTACCATATGGTATCTTTTGTGAAATTGAGCCATGCAAGGAATGCAACATATACAAAAATAGCCATGTGCGCAGGTTAAAATTCTGTACCTAAGGAAACAAGTTTGTTTAACAAAACACAATCTGAATACAGTTGATTCAGTCCTCTTCCCTAATTCAGAGGTCCCATGTATGGTTTTATGACTAGAGTTATGCAAGATAATGCACTTTCAGGTCACAGGGGATTGATTTAATTGTGTTGGGTTTTTTTTGGTTAGTGGGGGTTTCCATCCCAAGGTTTGCTTTGTGTTTCAGTTTCAAGTGAAACCAAAATCTCACAGAAATTCAGCTGAAACCTCTGAGTTTTACCAGGTTTCCGGTCAACATCATGGGTAATAACTGCACTTTGCTTACTTTCAGTTCAAATCCATAACTCCTGAGGGGGTTATAACAAATGAGATCTGGCAAGTCACGACAAATTGATTGTCAATCTGCTGGAGGCATCTCTTTAAAACAGGGTATTTGTGGGGCTATAATTCAATGCAAGGAGTCTAGTGAAGTAAAGTACATAGATGAAGTGCTCTGCAGTCATCAGAAAACAGAATTTTAACTCAAAATTTGACTATTGTTTATTTTATAAAATATGTATAATAGTTCTGAAATCTGGATCCATGCCTTGTACAAATACCAGAGAGCTCCCATTTCATCCCTGTCCCGACTTCTCAAAATTCCATATCAACTTCAGACTCAATCACCCCCTCTATCTCATTAGTCAAATTAAAGAAAGCAAATTTCTCTGAACAGAAACATTAATCCTCTGCTATTGTACATTATTTCTGTGCATATATTATTGTATGAT